TCTAGGTGTCGGTTTGATGAGTAAGCTCACCAACTTCCTAGAAGAGGGCTTGATCAAAGTGAGTATTCGTTTGATTCATCGTCTTGGTGCACCAACCTGATGACGGTTCCTTCGTCGTTTGTAGCCAAAACTTTGTAGAGATACTGCCGAACGGGTTGGGAGGAATCGCCAATGGCCTTGAAAGGCTGGGCAAGGGAGTGAGCAACGTGAAGCTTGTAGCGCTCCCACAGGAGACTGCTTGACGATGCGTCGTGTTGTGTAGTGTGATTTAAACATCAGTCTTTCCGTGTATTGTATTATATCATCCAAAAATGAGGCAACCAAAATAAGCGATAATCGCCCGTACGTTATACATAAAAAGCACCGGAAAATGACATCAATCGCTGGTAACATGGGCTCCACATAGTTATGCATGTTGGTGGAATGTGTATCAGAACGTTAGAGACGCACCCACTACACTGTACTGATTTTTCCTCCCGCAGTCTCGCGCGTCCCATCGTGATACGCATTCCACCGTAGTCTATCATCTGTCAGAGGTCTCAAAAATGCTTGAGCCAGATCTCCCGTGGGTGAAGTGCCTTCAGCTTTCGTTTATTGTGTATTTCCGCTATCTCTTCCTGTGTTTATGGAGTGAACTATGAGTTTTTTGGCACTGCTTACAAGTTTTCTGCATGGTATGATGTCCGCTGCCCTGCACGAAAGAGAAAAGAGAGACGAATGCATCCAAGTCACCGACCACTGTGGTGTCCTCGTCTAGTGTCCCACGCCGGTCATCAAACGCGATCATGTGATTCTCTGAGATCAATGACGCGACGCGACACTTTGTTGACTGACCAACTCGAACTTTATTTACTCTGATCTGTAATCTTTATTTGTGGGAATCAAGCACTCCATCTGTGTGCACAACAGTCCTCCCATGTAGCTATAATCCAATTATTCTTTCCATCGATGCATGAAATCGCTTATCCTTTCATCCACGCTTCTCTTCTGTCCCTCTTGCCGAGAAGGACAGAAGAGGAGCATGGCTAGGACAATACGACTAACTTCAAAGACTCGCAAACAGAATAGCTCATAGACGTGACATTTGAAACAATACTCCTCGTTGGAGATGCCAGATCTCCAGAGCCGGCAAGACCGCTGCTCTATCCAGCAACAATCCGGCTACATATAGGCAGACCTCTTGATTCCTATCTTTGTCATATTCGTACCAGCCAATGATTATTACTCCGTTGACACTCCAGTGACCCTTCTGAGCTGCCACTGCCCATGTCGTCTACTGGATGGATCATTCTACACTCTGGACTCGCTTAATACTGGTCATTCCTGTATCGTTCGTTCTGGAAGTAAACAAGGAGTAGGGGGGGAGGTAGTTGCTGTACACGAGTCTCAGAAAATTAGATCAAGCCGGTGAGCACGCTCGTCCTATTCCCCTGCATTTGCTGAGTGTTTCCCGTAGACGGCAATTGGCACAATCAATCAATAGGTCTCAAAATACTGCAACTAATAACATAAAATAACATAAGATCTTTCGATCCTTTAAGGTGTGTCTGCGCGCACTTCTCAAGCTGTTGTTAACATTCAAGTGATAGTGCTGTCTAAGTTGGCACTGCTTCCCAGACGTTTTGTGTTCTAAGACGCAACCGTTAGATCAAATCAGTTCGACACGTAGTACTCGGAGACCCACCGCCATCCATACCGCCCGACGTTCACGACGTAGCGCGATGGACGTGCCTCATATGTCTGAGGAGACTATCTGGTCTCGAAAAAGTCTCCTCGCACCCCTCGTAGCTGCAGCAGACTACCGTCGACCCAATGTGAGTCGTCGCTATGTGACGGACCAGGTTCTTCACCGACTTCTTCCGCTTGCAGCCTGTCCACTGGCAATTGCCCGAGCTCGAAGCGGGGTGCCAACTTTGCAGGTGCAATGTCAGCTCGGTATCAGAAACTTGATTTGACCCGAATCGATGGTGACAATTGTTCCACCGACAACGAATCTCGCCCTCGCTGTCTCCCTCGGGCGGACTGCTCCAAAGAATGACGTGAGTAGCTGCGTTACTTGTACCACAATTATATTACGTACACAGCGAGTGTGGCTTCTGGAACAACAGGCAGCATAAGTGGAGGAGCATCCTGGAAGGCCACACGGCCAACAGGGTGCCTGTTGACTAACGTCCTGGGACTAACAGAGATAACATTTTCAGGATTCGTCATCGAGTCGACCAGGCGCTGAGCGTCAGGGTCGAACCCTCCATAGACCAGGGCGTAGAGAACGAAGGCTTCGCGTATGATGCCTATGAATTCGGCAGGTATAGTAAGACGAAGGCCACTGTCCATCTGAACAGATCGAGAGTGAGTCATATGGTATGCAAGAGATTGAGTCATTTGACAGCACTGTGCAGTGTAGGAGTCCACTTACCGTTTCAAAAATTTCGACGCGGGGTAAGAAAGCTTTTCCGGCGAGGCGTCGTTATATACTCACCATCCCACTAGAATATGGATGGAGCTGGGCTAGGAATAGCGACCCTGGCACATCGCTCAATTTTAAGGTGTAATCGTGAGATTATTCTTTTCCAACTTTGGACAATGAATCGTGATACCACATAATTTGTCTTTCCATTCCATTGTCGACCGCCGTATTTTGGATTTTCCCCCAATGGACGAGGGAGAACTTGAGAAGATGAGATTGGCGAGAGATCTAACGTGGGAGCTGTCAAGACGACGGCGCCACAGAACGGCGACGGGACGCTATAGTCTCCGGAAAATATGGAAGACTGGAATGTGACAGGCTTCGGTGCAATACTGGGGAAGAAAAAGACTCTAGGCTTCAATTATCTTGATCCGCTAGAGAGTGAGCCGACTGCATCTGCTGCACGGTGAGTCAAATCTGCATTTATCAAAGCCGTCTGTCTCTCTGATACAAAACGGGGAACAGGAGGCTTGACAGCGGCCACCTAGCTGACTAACAAAGAACCTGAAAACGTGCCGTGGTGCCATCTGTCCCTAATTCTCTCCGCCTTCTCTTGTATTAATAAAAAAAAAGCCAGCCGTGTTGACGCCGTCCTGGGGAACCAATAATTATGAGGAATGAGACCGACATGCCCGCGGACAGGTGCAGCATGATGAAACTGCGAATTCTTTTCTTTGGAGCTACATGCAGCATGATCGCGGGCCGAGCCAATTCGACTATTACGTTCGCAAGAAATTCGCAGCCGCTGTGTCACCAGCGTCAACCGACGTAAGGCCTTGACTCGGAAGACCAAGCTCAATGCGGTCATGGAGCGTTTCCCGCCTCCGTTATGCGCTGAACACTACTCTTTCAAGTTCGACGACCGGGAGAAGATAGTTTTCAGAACGGCGAGAGGATGCGGAAACGGCTGACCAGAAAAATATCCAGAGTGGCTCCGATAGGACCCTAAAACATGAGCAATTCCTAACTGTGGAACGGAACTTTTGGGATACCTGGTTTCTCTGTCCGGTTACGCCTTGTCATATCTGTCAAAATATATTAAATTGCCGAATAAGTATTATCTGTCAGGCGCGGAGCCGCAGTGGTGTGATGTAGGAAGGTGTGACAAGTAGTTGAGAAACACTGTTCTCGTCGGCGGCCATAGACACACGCGGCCAGCAGGAGAGGGCATGCCCGTAACAGGGACATAATCTGCCCGAGTATGGCTCTGCGCAGCACGCCACGTCGAGTCAGCGGAGGACATGTGCGACAAAGAAGCGCACCGGAACCATTACACCAAGGGCGAGGATGATGATGAGACAGATGCGTATTCTTATTCGCATCAGTCGACGTTACAACCACATCCCCCGAGGAACTTGACCTCAGGAATGTGTCAGGTCTTCTGGTCTCCACGCTACAAATGTTTCGCGATGGTGCGCTGCCGGTATACGTGCACGTGTGATATTGCCATTGTCCTGGGTGACAATCGAACCTAGAGGGCTGGTCGAAGTCTGGCTTAGAGAGTGGAACGTGGAACTCTGAGCGAAGATGGGGCGCTTTCTGTGTTGGGACCTGAAGGAGTCGCGTCGTAAACGGACATAATTTGATAGAATGGTAGCATTAGCGCCCCGCCGGCAAATCGTGCATGCACCCTGATAGCCTGATACAACCTCGTATTCAGCCAGGCCAGAGGCATAATTTGGAGCAAATTTCAATCAGACAAATCCCGTACCCGGGTCCCGGCCGCCTGGCGGCATTCGCTCTGAGTTAGTTGCGATTACCGCCGACACAAAACACTGGGGGATGAATGGTCAACATACAAAGCCCATGAGAGGAAACAGACCATTGTCGTAGCCCATAAAAACTCGGCGCGAGTCAATGGCAAAAGTCAACGATGAGCCACAGTGGCTTACGGGAAATTAGGTCGGCGATCACCGAGCACAAATGAAATGAGTTCTGGTCCCCGCACTAAACCACCATGAATCTCGCCACCCAGATTCGTGAATCTCCTCGCTAAGTATATTTTGTCCTCGGTTCCACGTGGTGCCTGCCGCAGTGGTTTTGGAGCGCGTACACCGTCGCTGCGCCCTCGCCCCCGTTCCAACACGACGCGTCCCCCCCCAACTTCAATCCCGCCAGCTCAAAGTTCATTGTGACTAATCTGCTTCTCAAGATTGGCTGATAAATGATGTGTCTCATAAGTCTGGTCGAATCTAGAAGGTGTGGTCCACGCCGGCCGCTTTCTGAACACGTTCTGTGTGTGCGTTGCAATGCAAGACAGGTATCACTCACCCGAGCATACTTTCGTGTCAGTATATCGAACTCAACACCTACAACGCGTTCTCATACACCTCTACGCACAGCTATCTCTCTCTCGATGACTATGTACTCATTTCAAGGCTGGATCAGGCATCTTGACTTTTGCAGGACTCGGGACTCTCAATTGTCGATTCTACGAAGAAGAGATGTCGGAGGGCGCGAGATTATTGGGCCTACTGTTGCTGAGAGAATTGTGCAACGGGAGGCCTCGAGTACTGCTACCACGGAGAGGAGGTGGGGATTACGATATACCATGCGTCGACGAGGTGAGTCACATCTCGAAATTTATGACAGTCTTAGCTGAGTTCATCCATAAAGGTCATCTTAAACCATGTCCATAACTATCATTTGCGTAAGAGACAGAGATGCGGCGCAGAGCGTTTTGTGTACAGGTGGAAAATCGTAAAAATTATGTCTACGGTGCGTCGCTCAGTGTGCCTCTCGCTTACAGTAACACATTTACATTAATAGACCGAAACGGTGAGCGGGGCAGTACAAGTTGCATGTCCCCACAGTCATCGTCCATACCACCGACTGTTGCCATCGATGTTGTGCACCAGAACTTTTCTTATGATCCCCGTCGACATATATTATGCCCATCACACGGCGATATGCACGAGAGTAAGAATGGAAGTGTATGTCTTTCCCAACATTTTTCCCGCCTCTCTACCGCGTTGGACGCCAAATGGATATGGGATCTCAGCCCGACGTCTCTGTTCTCGTTCTGGGCTTTGGGACGGAAGGCTGGCGAACTTGAACCAAGGATTGCATGCAAGGCTTCATGACTTGAAAGAGCTCTGAATAGCTAAGGCGGTCCGATGTGATGTTTGCGGGAACCAGCCACGAGCACCCCAAGAAACGTTCGTCGAGATCAGTGGTAGTGTTGGCATCGCGTGCACTCAACGAGTGAACCCCGTTATGTTCCTTTGAAGCAGAGGCGGCGACAAGTGCAAATTTTTTCCAGAGGCGTATCAACAGCTTCATGTATACACAAATGGACATGCTATACTACTCAGCTTCCCAAACATTCTAGATGCGCTCTCGAGCTCGGAGCGGGAGTCTTTTATTGCTCGTGGTGATAACGTGGGGAAATCAAGTTTGATACGAACAAGCCCTGGCGCTATGCGACGGCGGACGCAAAAACGTGAGTGATCCCCAATGTTCGGGAATAGTAACAGCAGCGACCCTCACAGGAACGCATCATCCAATGATCTTCGTCGGGGGTGAGTCGGATTGTTGTACTTGTGTTTCATTCTGGAGCTTCTTAGATGGATGGCACGTTATGGAGCCGCCTTGTGGCAGGGCGTGACCGTTCCGATAAGATGGTAACAGACCGACGACTCGGCGTCGTTTGGGCAACATAGCAGAGCGTGTGAAGGGATCCTACTGGGCGCCAACCGAGTTCTGGAGCTTGGCCGAAGTCGACCACAGCCGAGATATGCCGATGAATCGGTTTTGGCGAACTTGATGTTGATGTTGGAAGTTGGCGCGGACATCTGGACGGGGAGCCGTCGTTTGCGCACTGTGCTAGCTGCCATGTTGAATTGAGGCGCGTAATAAGCATTTTGCTGTCAGACTCATTCAGTGTCTCGTGATACTACCAATACGACTAGGTATGATTTTGAATATGTACGCACACATCGCCGCGCTGACCGTGGACAGAGAAGTTGGCTGCTGGCAGGGCAGGCAGTATGTTTTTCGTCTGTTTCTGAACAAGTACTGAATGGTGAACAGTGTTGTGCCGTTGTGTCTGTGGATCGACCGGCATCATTCCACTGCATTCTGTCCAGGCGGCACTCCCACGGAGATCCGAACGGTTTCTTTGGAAATACGACTCGACGGCCGACATCCAGTTCCCCCCTTCCCCCCAATGCCAACCCAGTCAGCTCAGGGTCGCCTGACCGCCGCCCAGAATCTAGAGCGCCGGATCTTCTGATAGCGTAGCGTCCTGTCGGGAAATTGTCCATTGTTCATCCGGCGCTTGGAGAGGGAGAAAAGTGGGTAGTGATGGCGTTGGAACTCCCACAGCGGCTATTATCACTGGTTCTCCCTCTGTTACCTCCTCGTCCCTCGCACACCCCCTCCCTATCCATTTTGTGCGTCTGTGTACAGCACAGTTTACTCCGCGTTGTCAGATTGGAATCTTCGTCAATCCAGTGGAAGCACTGGGTTCTGTCCTGCATCCTCCGTCTTGGTTCGGTTTCTCTCAGCCGGCGCGATGCTGTGCTGTACCACACCGTCTCCTTACGCTGTCAAGCACGACCAGATGTTCCATCTCTCGCTTCCAACTGCGTCAAGACTATAGACGGCCTCCTCGCGATTTAGCGAGGCACTGTGGTTGTGTATTGTATAATGCATTCTAAAGTTCGTACTTCCCCTTTCGCGCGTGCCCGTAGTGCTTAAACATGGCGAGGAGTTCCTCCTCTGCGGCTCATTGCCATGCTGGGTTCTTGTTTCTTCCCTTGTGGCATTACGTCCACTAATCCTCGCTGGCGCGACTCTCGTCTCAATCCATGAGGCAACAGTGCTTTAACCTATCCGTCGACCTAGCTATACACCACTTTAAGCTGAGGGCCTCTCCTTTGCAGACGTCCTTTCACGTTACTGCCAGATCGCAACATACCCTACTCCGTCTGCCGTCACCGCTGATGGATTATCCGACGGAGACGATTTGAGTATGTGGCTCAGTCAAATGGGTATATCCTTCATCGTCGATGCATAGTATGTACGCATTGATGCCTTTGTTCCCAGTGAAGCTGACACAAAAGGGGATGAAAGTAGCTGCGAATAGCACAACGCTCTAGTGTTCGCTCTTGCTTCATATTCACGGAGAACAGGATGTATGTATGTGGAAGCGAGGCACATCAAGCTTCCCCAGTCGGACCATGGAGACGAATATTGTTGATAACAGCCTCCTACGGACCGGAAAGGGAGCAAGGGCTTTGCTTCGTGTTGAGCATTGGATATCGCCGCTGCTTTTGCATGACGGGCCTTTGAGTCTTGCGCACAATTAGCGACAGGACACCTACGATGCCAGTGCTCCCACCTCCCCTCCCCTGTTTCCGGTCCCAACTGGAATGATCCTTGCAAACGCGATGGGACCAGCGCAGCGTGCGATCTGGCCAATTCCAGGAATGCATGAAGAAATTGGCTGGATGATTCTCAAAAGTCCAAATTGCAGACTATTCGTATAGCAGATGTACGCATGCAGTACCATCTGCAGTCGGATGTATCTGATGTAGCTTCTCCAGGATATAGCACCTGTCACCTGCGCCGGTTCAGGCTACCCCCTCTTGCACGTCACCCCACCCGTTGATTTTCTATCCATCTGACATTCCCTTGCGTATACATGCAGTACCATCGCCAGTTGAATATGTCCGATGTAGCTTCTCCAGGATATCGCACCTGCCACCCGCGCCGGTTCAACCTCGTCGCCCGGTCGTGCTCGTTACAGCGTGCAATCGAGGGCTTACGGGCTCGTGTGGAGGACAACGGAGGTTGTACGCTAGATTACCACGAAAGTGTTCCCCCGGCCACATCCGCCGATTCCTCACACTCCTTGCACCAACCGCGTCATACAAACAGGGTTGCCTGCACATATACTGTCAGAAAAAGCATCGAATTTCCCTGCTCCACACCAATCTTCCCGGCCTTGCCCAAAATTTTAAGGGGAAGGAGGGGCCAGAGCAATGCCACAAGTGTGACGACGCACCTACGCCTCCTGTCCCAACTCAATATTCCCCTGTGGCAGTGACACAGCCTGCCTGCGCAAGCGTGGAAGGCCAGTAGTCCACAAGACATGCAGTGGCGGCCAAAAGTAATGCCCTCACAAGAGATTATTACAGGCTATCTACTTCGCAGCGTGGCAATTCTCTTGGTACTTATAGAGTAGAATGTGACTGTATTGTATATACAAGGCACTGTAGATAGCAAGTGTGGTTTTGGTGAGACATGAAGGAAAGAGCTAACGTGTGCGGGCATTACTTTTGACCGCCACTGTATTCCTGGGCTGGGCGGGGGCCTCGGGGGGCTATGGCGTGTGCCAGGTCGCCAAGGCTGATGAGAACGACGAGGATGGGGCTCTGACGGAGTCGCCGAGGCTGGTGTGGTGTGCCAAGAAGGGAAGCGGCGGAGGCTCTGCTGGAGCCTGTAGTGACAGTATGCGGCGATCGGAGACAAGCCAGGGTTCGGCGTAGATCGGGAAGAGCGGAAGGATCTCGGGGAATGGCGCTGGTGGCAGAGGCGTATTTGTACATGTTGACGCAAGTGTGGCCGCTCGATCGTTGTTTCGCGGACTCAGAGAAAAATGTACCTAGGAGCCTCGACGGACCCATCTAAGCCAACTAGGTTCGACGTTGGTGCCCGGTTCAACACTAATACTGGTGAATTCTCGCTCGACGTTTGCGATGAGAGAAGCTAGCGAGCGATGCGGGCCTATAGACGATGTGCTTCGCGCGGCGACGACAGTGCCTCAACGAGTCCGTCATGCTCACCTAGACATCATGTGCATGCTTGGCCCCCGCTACATCTCCCTCCCGCAGTTAGCCGCATTAGATTTTTCAAGGTGGAGCTGGAAGGACGCCGCGCCGTATTCGACCCACAAGTAGATCTTGAGTGGCACCCACCCGGGTGGCCGTCCGCAGCCTGAGTGTCAGGCACATGCGGTGACCAGGAAGGCAAGGGGAATTACAGACGGGAGGGGTGAAGCGCAAGAGGGATTATCCTGAGCAAGTCAATGCCGGAACGCTAGGTGTCGAGAGGGCGAACGAGAGGACGGGGGATTTGCGAACAAAGGTGCCAGCTACTGGCGTTGACTCCACGAGGATACAGGACCGAACGAGCGAGACTAAGTAGACGGAAACAACCGAGACTTGAAGACGATAACGATCAGCGACAAGATGTGCAACTACCTGAGACGAGACCGCGAGAAACATACAACCGGAATGTTCGTAAGTAAGCAGCGTCCTTCGTATTTAAATTGTCTTGATAGTATCTAGAATGGCCGTGTGACTGTCCTAAACATCACACACGCGTATAGTCTGCCAGATCCATATCCATTACTGCCAGACCTGTTCACAGCCCCTCTGATCGATCATACCCTGTATTGACCCAGTCTTCACATAGCTGGTTCCCGCTCACAAATGCTTCGGCGCATAACATGATCGAAATACATTAAGTAAGAGCGACTCCAAGCAAACAAACTTTCTCGCATGTGGAATGCGCACAGCCCAGTAAAAAAAGCACTCTCCGCCATCCCACCCGCCTCCGCGCACCGAAGACTCAGCCGTCGAGGCCGACACCATGCACCTTCAACAAATGGCGCGCCCTCGAATCCGCGCGCGTGAAGTGCTCTTCGCACCCGTGCACGGTGCACACCGTGGCCGTCGAGCGCAGGTGGCGCGTCGCGATGTGCTTCGCGAAGCTTTTGAAAAAGAGCGTCTTGTCGCGATTGCAGCCCGCCCAACGGCAGAGCCCGCGCCGCTCGGCGTCCCACTCTTCGGGCGCAAAGTGCGCGGCGCGGATGTGCGCCTCGATGTCCCCGAAGCGTGCTGTCTCGAAGCGCTGCATGCAGCCGTCCCACTGACACCGCAGGCTCGCCGTGTGCGCGTCGGGCGTGATGGTATTCCACGGGAGTGCGTCGGGCGCACTCGTCGAGTCGGGGCTTGAAGATGTTTCGGGGCTGTATGTGCCGGATGAGAATGCGTAGAGGTCGTAAGCAGTAGAGGCGGAGAAAGTATTATGCGTGTTTGCGTACTCGTACGCGGGCGGAGATGGAAGCGCGGGCTCTATGCGCACGGTGTGCGCGGGATGTGCGAGCATGTAGAACCATTGGCGGATGCGGGACGGGGCGTCGGAGAAGAGAGCGAGGCGAGCGCCGATGAAGTCTTGTGCGTCGGGCGGGAGGGCGGTGGAAGGGCTCTGAGTGGGAGCGCCTCCTGCTCTGGGGTATACATGGTGCGCGAGGTCGACAGGTAGCGCAGGCCAGTGCAAGTTCTGCATGTGCACGTGGGTGTGGAAATTGTTCGTCCCGTTGAGAGCGAGCGATGCATCCCATGGGGCGGCAGCACGGTGTGTGGAGTCGGGGTGAGCCAGATTATAGAGATATGCCATCGATATCCCGTTCCTGGGAAGGAGAGATCCGTTCAGTGATGCAGGCACAGAGGGGGGTGGCTGCATACTTACGCACTAGAAAGGCAGTCCATGTTGGCGGAAGGACAAATGGGCTACAGCGGTATTTATGACGGGGGCAAGAGGATGGGGATGCCGGGGTCAGAGAGGCGATTTAAGAGCCTTGTACAAGGAGGTATTTTGGGCTATATCTTACCGCATGCTGGATTGGGGCAGAAGATCGCGATCTATGAGGCGCCGTTCTTCTTTTGCAACGTTACGGCGGAGACTTGCGTTCTGCTTGACATCTTTCCGCGGCCTCCGAAGGACATATTCATACACCATCATTTATTCCTGATGACTGCTGATGCGGCCTGTTGCGGTCCGTGGCGAAGCTGCGTGCAGGCGGATGGGGGTTAGATCGCGAGGACAGGGTGGCTCGCAAGCGGACGGCCGTGCGCAGTGCGGCGGAAGCGTGGTGAGCGATTACGGACGCCAGATCTTTGACCTCGGCAATCCCTTCGGGTGATCTGTCGCCCTCGAATGTACTGTCGCGATTATCGCAAGTCAGACAAAGTAGCTTCATGAAATCATCCTACAGAGCACCTCAAGGCCTATGCTGGAGACGTGCTGATCGTGGACTCGACGTTCAATGTTGACGCAGCTGGGCTCGCAGAAAGTTCTGCGGCGCAGATGCGGATTTAGGCGCCGTAGAAAATGCGAACCTGCGAGAAAAGACGCCTATGTCTCCCGCTTATCTAATGTCACGCTCAGATATACGATCGCGATCATCTAAGTACTAGTCCACAATACAATGCTTTACCAACTGCTGCATGACAAGTACATCCGCTCATATGCGCTGTTCCGATGACGCGGGGCGCGTCGCGCGCGATCATACCAAGGGTCACACCAGGGTCGCAGGAAAATCACGGTGACCACGTCTTCAATTCGCAACTCCAGAAACTCCTATTTTCTTCGGCGCCTAAATACGCATCTTTTCATTGTACTCTTGGTTTATACTCCGTACCTAGAGATACACGTGCAGAGTGTTCCGACTCTGTCTGCTGGGATGTCACTGGAGCGGTAGGCACTCCAATCCGCATCTGCGGCGCAGAACTTTCTGCGAGCCCAGCTGCGTCAACTTTGAACGCCCCTTTTAATATCCTCCATCTCAGGAAAGCATTCAATCCACCTTGAAAATGATCGGATAGATATCCTCCTTCCCTGCGCGTGTTTTCCCACAGCCCGATTCCGGTGACAATTTGACGCCTTCAAGTTGAAGCATATATTCCAGAGAAGACTTAATGAATGATCATTGATCATCTTGTGTTGTGGTTTTCCCCCACACGACGGGGGATGCACTCGAGATCTACGGGGCCAGGGAAGAGTGCGTCGGTGTTGCGCTTGGACTAGGATCTGAATTTGAGCCTGTGAAGGAGATTCGGAGATGGGCATCGAGCCGCGCTTGTGGTGCACACATGAAGGTTACTGGCGGCGGATACACTCCGTGACATTGATCGGCATGGCGCCACAATTTCTGGTCTTCCATTTCTGGACGCAGATGAGCCGGCAGCGATGGCAGTTGCTCAGGCTGTCGGTGCGCAGCGCTGGTGGAATTAGTGACGGCCACATGACTACTCCTGCACTCAGACCTCCTCCTCCAACTTGAAGTATGTCCCATTGGCCAATGGTACGAGTGGTGCATGCAGCTTGATACAACTAATCTCGATTGTGTTAGCACCACCCTCTTACCCCCAATTCCCATCCTGACCCAAAGACTCTGGCTATCGTCTCGTCTCGGCCTACTAGCGCGAGATATGCTTCTAGCCGGTATCCTACCCATCCCTCCACCCTGTCGCAACGACCATCAGCCTGCCTACAATTCCCCGCACCAGTCGCTCTACCTGCTTCTCCTTCGCTCCGTATCGGAGACGAGGTGCGTCTGCTGTGTCGCTGGCCTTCCAAACTTGGAGGGGACACAGATTCCGAGTGTCTAGGTTTGCACGTTTATGTCATGCTTACCACTGGCCGATTCCTCCGACACCTTTCGAGAGCGGGCGGTACTGACACCTCATAGTATTCGATTCCGACCCGGGGCGGCGCGCAGATGGCCGGCACAGGCGCTCTGGAGTCCGCTGCCGTGGTCTAGATGCAGGAGTGCAGCGGGGTACACCAGAATATGCTCAGCGCTTGCACCTGCCATGTTCAGAAGACACGAACGTGATGACTTCAGGGGGCTCCTCGATGCAGCTAAGCTTCTACACCTCGTGGACGGTAAAACTGCTCGAGCATGCTGCTTTGCGGCATATCGCGTGCGCGGGAGAGCAAGGTGAGGGATGAGGACGAGGTAGCGAGGCATGTATTATTATCCGTGACGTCTCTCTGCCGAACATTCATGTGAATTCGGCGTATTTTTCTGATGGCCTTTCGGTATTGTGGTTTTCAGGGTGCAGGTGGTTGACTGAGAGATGTAATCAAGGTACGATCAATGGATAATGAATCGTTTCCTAGACGCATCAGGAGGAGCACCACTACCAAATAGACGTATGCCCGGCCTATGAGAGTACGCACCGCCGTGCAATGATGAATATCCCAGTATCAATGTTGGCCATGCCATAAGGTAGACTGTGTCTTCCAGGGGCCCTAAAAATCCCGCAGTGGCGGTAAAGCCGACCGCATATTACTAGAGCAACATTAACGCATCAAATAAGAGGCCGATCCGAACATTGAACTCAACAATAGCTCCACCAGTTGGCAGCGATGGATGTAGTAAAATCGACGTTTCTACTGTGACCGGGGATTGGGTTGATCACGCAGGTCTTCTCTCCGCTTTTCGTCTGCTAGCACTAAGGTTTGCTCGTCGCAACGTACAACTATAGTGATATACCCCCATTGAAGGGCGACGGACTGACGCGTTCGATATGTTCCTCAGCTTTGAGACTGTGCCAAGAGAAGGCTTTCGTATCGAATGGCTGGTGATGCTGAGATGTTTTTCTTGGTTGATCCTCGCGGTATCAAACGTCCCACTGTTGACATACGTCCGAAGCTGCATCAGGTGAGCATTCGCCACTGCCACGTCAAGTGAATACAACATTTACCATATATGGACGCCAAGGCTCTTGTCCGATGCCGTAGAGCATTGTTTGGTTGCCGCATGTGGCTCGCGCATCCACACAACCAAGGAGACCTGTGCATTTGGAGGCACATCTGGTGCTCGTCAGTAATTTTTTTGCATCATTCGTGCGAACAATTAACCCTAAAAACCTGAAATCCTCGTTTGTCTGCAACTTTGCTGCTAGGCGCGGTTCTAGTCCCGTAGTGCTGTGCTCCCAGCACTCTTTCGCCTCTCAACATTCAAGACGTTCAAGAAGGCTTTCAACCGAAAATTTTTGATGCACATGTGATTGAGCATCAGGGACGGCGTTCTTACCCAAACCGTCTGTGTGGGTCTGTATGGATGATTCGGATAGATCGGATGCGCGTGCGTTATCTTGAAAACTGTTACTCCATCATAGTCTTATCAGAAACGCTGGCATCCATCCAGACACCAGGGTTTCCATTCACGGCTGAACAGCCGATGGTCATCCGTATGCAGATATTCTTTCACAGGTGGTGCACGGTCGCTGTCCCTTATATGGTGCGTGGGTGGCAATCAAGTTCAAGTTCTCGAAGTTGTTCGATTCAGTATGTCTACGTAGTTGAACAACGCCATAAAGAAGTCACCGGTCAACCATGCTTCGTTAAAGCAGATAAAGGTGTGGTGGGATGCCGACGGTGGACCCGAAAGCTGGCCAGCTTCATGAGTGCATTGTAGAGTTAGCCTATGCCTGTAGAATGATCACGGTGTCAATTGCAACGGTATTTGATGCGTCGATTGCTCTCGAATGCGCTGCGTTTGAGTCATCAACTAAAGCTCGCAAACAGATGATATGGAAAAGAGGCTCACGGACATTGTTTGTCACAATATCTACATACACGTAACATATGTACATAGGTGCACAGAGTCGCGGTTCCCATCTAGATGAAGAGTTTCTGTAGGTGTCCAGTTGGATGTTGCATATCCAATCGGAGGCGCCATTTTCCCGAGGCCGCATAATGGAACTCCCCTGATCCAATCATGTGAAGATGGATATTTTGGAAACTCAATTTCTATTCGGATAAAACACTCTTTCCAGATGAGAGTCCATATCCACCTCGATTTTTGACAGCCTGACATTGACTTGCCCGTGACAGGTGCCGATTAGAAATTTGGGATATGCCTTACACAGGTCTCAACGCGGAGCATTGGTGGCCACTGGCTGCATCTGTAGGGGCTACTTGCCAATTCGCTACAACAGATCGAACAGCGGTTCGAATCAAGATGTGTCCAGATCTTACTGAATATTCTCAAGCTTGTTCGCTTCCGCCAGTATGTGCCATTTCTTCGTGGGGTCACGTTAAGCAGGGACGATCAACGGACTATGGCTTGGAGACTCGGCAATGATCACAACATTCACTCCTGGCTAATAAAGTCAGTGCACGACAAGTATCAGAAGTGGAACAGTTTCGCAACCTTGATTCGTGAACAAGATAATGACTCGGTAAGCTCCGTTTCATACGCAGCTTCGGTGCAGGATCGAGGAGGGGATTGTTGGCGGCTCAGGCTTCAGGGGAATAGTTCTCAAATTGGGTGGGCCCGGACGTTTTCCTCTGGTCATGCTGGCGCTCCTTAAGCGGGTAGCTTGCAGCGTTGTTGCTAGCCATCGACGTTGTTCAAAGCGGCTACGGAGGCCACATAGGTGATAGACCTGGAGAGACCCGGCCCCTCGGACACATGTGGAGACAAGCGCTTAGAAGCACGTGATGTCGAAATCTTGTCTGAATCCCGCTAACCACCAAAACTCTACTGCGAGAGAAAACAGCGTCTGCGGCACTGCGGGCAATATCCAGAGTTCGAGTAGCAAACATGCGTCGAACACAGCTCACAGGAGACAGCGAGTTTTCATTGTGTTCGGAGCTTAAATATTAGGAGTGTTCAACTGTCAAACATGGGTGATCGGTAGTCTCGTAACCAGACCTCGATAGGAGGAAAGAATCACGTGTAGTTATCGGATTTGATGGGCGGAGAGCCAAAAACCCAGGTCCGGTGAACTTTGCAGGGAGGGAGGGGAGTATCCATCACGCATAACCGATGTCACCAGTGACGATTTCGTGACCAGTCGTGTCTAACGCGTACAGACGCGTCGATCGCGTTGCAGCTACAGCGCGTCAGTCACTATATGCGCATGTATCCTATACAATCCATACAGAATTGTCGAGAAGGAGAGGCATGGTAAACGGCATTGTCTGCCCAGTCCCGGTTCCTGCAATTACCATACAGTTTATGCCCACATTGACTAGCCAGTCATAGGGCTCATAACCATTAAACACCTAGGAAAACATTTCAACGATTTGCTTCGGCCGCGTTTCCTCGGACGAATATCTGTGTGTCTTGACGGCTTCCTGGTGTGCATTCTCAAGAACCGTAGTCAATGCAGATGATAAGCTGCCAGACGTTGCATGTGGTGATATCGTCATCGACGCAGTAGGGGTCATATTCGAGAGGCTGTACGACACATTCAAAATCTATTCAAACAGTGCAAGACTTCATCATAGCGGTTTGCATGACACTGGCCCGCACCGTAGTGGGAGGTCACGAGACGCGCGTGGCGGATACCCCCCTCCCTCCCTGCAAAACTCACCATACGGAATAGGACAAAGCAGAGCAGGTCTTTTTAGACCTCCGCCCTACACTTCGCTGTGGCATGCTCATTGTCCTACCGTCTGGAAACGAGACTAGGTGATCGGCAGTTGCTGATTGGCTGAACACCGATGTTCGACGGATGTTGCCACAACGTCCGATTAACATGTTCAAGCTCCGAACATGATTAGGAAATGCTGCCTCCAGCGACCGATGTTTTCTCTATATTCGGCGCTCGACCTTTGGGCATCTCCCGCCGTACGACTTGGATTGTTCGATCTAGTCTGGCCGCTCCGGTATTAGGTATCAGGTATCAGTATATCTATCCTGATCATGCCCCTCGTGTTGCTCAAATGCGCAGAATCATTTGTCGTTATGGTGTCAAATAGGTTGTGCGGAATGTCGGTGAGTAGTCGCCCTAGTTTTATTTAGCCGAGCAATTTTTGATCCAAGTCATGAGTACAGAATCTATTTGCATGACGTGTAACCTTACTGGCTAGAATTATAACCCCAAATTCCTCCGCGAGACCCAACCTTGAAATTGGCCACAGAACTGGCTATCCTGCCTTCATTCCGTACAACCATACAGCTAAATGCACCTGCCATGCGAACCCCCGGCATGGCTAGTCAATTAGTGATCATTTAGAACACTTGGTGTGGTGTGGAGAACACAGGCCAAAGCCTGCCTGCTTGTACATATGCTGCAGCAGTATGCTGTTGTAACGGGGAATTCTAACGCACTACACCTTTCGTGAGATCACATGCAACTTGTGTCATCAAGGTCTCTCCATCACAGTCTCTTTCCTTTCTTTGCTCTCTGTGTTACAGTTTCTCTATCTTTTGCACTCCTGTCTGGTCTCTTTCTCTCATTCTGTCTGTGTTGAAATATAAATGTGGCAAATAAACCTTACCTGTGTTGACTAGACACAAGGCAAGTAGAGAAGGCTTA